GTAAAATCAAATCAATTATTTAAAAACCTCCAAAGAGAAAGAGAAAATCACTCTGGCCGCCACAATGGTGCAGTGATAATGCAACACTCCGTGACACTAAGGTCACATGGAAAGATCCCAGGTTGGCACCAGAGGCATCCGCGTACCTGTGGTTCTGGCTAAGGCTGGGGTAGATGTCAGTGTGAGGACCTTGATGGGGCTCGCTCTCTCTCTCTCTCTCTCTCTCTCTCATGGAAAACATAAATAAACTTTAAAAAAAAAAAAGAGTAAGCATTCAAAAAAGAAGTAAAGAAAATCATTCTTCAGATATTTTAATCTAATTCTTAAATTTCCTGGCATGCTAAATTTCTGAGTGAGCTTTTTCTGAGATCTTAGAGTATTTTATTTTTTAATGGAGCTGTACCTTATAAAATGTTTTCCTCAGAGACTGTTTCAAATATATCTTCATTTCCTACAGAACGCGTATTGAGTACTTAAAATTAACTCACTCTCAAACCTCAAAAACAGAGTCAGAATGTAATTTCCTAAATCATTCTAACAAAGATATCAACAGTGTCAAAACCCTGAATTTTGAAACAACTTCAGTTCTTTTTCTAACCTCATTATTAAAGCAGACCTTTTTCTCATGTTTGTTCATAACAAGATTGCCATTTTCCATGCTGCTTACCGATCATAAACAGACTGGGTCTTAAAACCAAACTAGTGCACTGTCAAAAATATTCAAGATGTATAACCTCTGGTTTTATATTAGTATCTAAACAGGTTCAAAATTGTTATTATTGCCAAGTATTATCAAAAATCGTTCATACCCAAGGTTCAGATGGTGGCACCACAGTAATATAATGCTCTATGAGGCTAACCTATCTGGGGAGGTTCTGGATTTGCATCCAGAGGGCTCCCTGAACACATCAGGTGTGTGAATGCTCATGATCCAGGGATGGCTGGATCTGGGAGTGGATCACAGCATGAAGTACCTATTGAAAGTAACTGTCTCTCTATCTCTGTCTCTCTCTTCCCCTCCCTCCCTCCTTTCTGTCTGGAATAACTAAATAAATAAAATTTAAATAAATGAATAAAATTAATTTTATTACGTAAAACTACATTTAAAATTTAAATAAATAATTTTTTTTGGAGAGGTTTTTGCTATAGGGCACGTGTGCTCGACAGAAAGACAGAGAGACAGAGAGACAGAAAGTAAGAAATCACCCCCCAGGGGGAATGGCCACGCTGCAATCCCTTCTCCTCCATTCTCCCTTCAGGATCTTGGGCACGCATGCACATGCACCCAGCGTGAGTTTAAGCCACTGAGTCTGAGACTCGAATCGCAGTTGGCTACATGAAAGTCCAGCGACATAGCCATTACACTAACTGCTGGTCCCCTCTCCTCCATTCTCATCTCAGGATTTTGGGCATACATGCACGCACACCCAGCATGAGTTTCAAGCTACCAGGTTCAGGACTTGAACCAAAGTCAACCATGTACGTGGAAGTCCAATGATGAACCATCTACTGGTCTCAAAAATATGAATCTTTCCAGTTGACTAAGAAGAGAGGTGTCTCTCAAACTTATCCATCCCCCTGATTTCCAAACACAAAGAAGACAACAGCATTTCTTTAGAAATACTAATCATCTATGATTAAATAGAAAATAGTAATTGAGTAGGCAAAGATAGCATTTCCAACTGACTCCAGTAGATGCAGCTCTAAGACAAGAAAATAACCATAAAGATGACCAGAGCATCTCAAAAAAATGGTAATTGTTTATAAAATAAATTAGATCTAAACCTGGTATCTGAATAAACTTTTAGGTAAAATTTATTGGATCATCGAAAAAGTCATGATGTATTTTTGTTTTTTTCTTTGCAAAAATGTGTCATGACTTTTCAGACAACCTAATTACATTTTCCAAGAAATATTTTCCTTCCACCTTTTATTCTTTTCAAGAATTATTGGTTTTTCAGGAAAGTCATGATGCATTTTTGCACAGAAAAACAGAAAATATATGTCATTACTTTTCCAACAAAACCATTATTTATTTAATATTTTATTTGTTATTATTATTTTTACATTTTGACCAGAGAGAGAGAAAGAGAAAGGGAAAGTGAGAAGGCAAGTCACCAGGTTCAGGACTCAAACTGTGATTGGCCATGTGGGAAGCCAGTACCTTAACCACCACTTCTCTTGCTGGCCCCATCTTTTCCCTATTTTTTAAAAATTGTTTTTAAAACTGTTTCTCAGAGGTGAGAAGGTGGTGCAGTGGCAGTGCAGCTGGATCCACCTGAGCAAGGGCCTGGTTCGTATCCCAGGACCTCCCTGAGTACTCCCGGTGTACACACATGCCCAGGATCCAGACTGGCTGAGACTGGGGTGTATGGAGATATGAAGGCCCAGCCAGGGCCCCTCTTTTCTTTCTCTCTCTCTCTCTCTCTCTCTGCCCCTTTTTCTCATGGAAGAAATAAGTAAATTCTCTCAGTTCATTCAACAGCCTAGAATACTGATTCAGTACAAGGATGAATGTTTTTCTTGCCTTCAATTTTTTACTAGCCAACAGTAGCAAGAAATCATGACCATAAATACAACTGACTACTCTTTACCATAATTATAACCCCTGACAACACACACACACGCACATGCACACAGGTGTACGCTCCAAAGATTTCTCTGTCACATCAAAGCACAACACATAGTAACCTGTAACAATTCTCTTAAAAATACTAATTTACTCCAACTGACCATTTCAGTGGCTAGACCACGAACTCACCAAGCCCGAGTTTTCCATTTCATCTCTCTGTGTCAGACACCTCCTAAGAGAACAGTACTGAGGCTCTTCATAACACTATTTTTAAAAATGTTTCCTGTCATTTCTGAAATATGGAATTTTCCTCTAGACATTAATTCAAACATAATTTTGATACCAAAAACAACTTAAATTGCTTATTTATTTTCTTTCCATATAAAACTATCAAAAGGATTACATGAAAGTCTATCAACAATGAAATATTGCTTTAGAAAGGATTTTAAATGAATCCTACTATAAATGCACTTACTAAACTAAAGAGTAAAACCAGCAACTCTAACAACACAATCAGAGACTGCCCCAGAGGTTTAAGATATGAAAAACACACACACCCCCACACACAGAATAAAGCCACTCTGTAGTTGGGTGAAGAAAAACAATTCAACTTCTATATTTTTTTGGTTTAACTAAACCAGGACAAATTGAAAGCAACTGGGAACAAACTGAATATGTTTTAGAAAATATCACAGATCATAATAGTGTACACCAATGTTAATAGTTTATAGGAAAGAAGTTTAAAAACCTTAAATTAAATTAAAGACCTGCCTCAATAACAGAAGATCACTCATTCAAGAAAATAAAAGAAACCTTGTTCACAAAGCAACAACCCAATGTGCTTCCTGCAACAATCTTTTTTCATTATTATTATTATTAAAATAAATGGAACAACACTTTTAAGATAATCCACCTGATGAGGTGTAACATGAGAAACCAAAATATCCGCATAATTTCTGACTATCATGAGCCGTAAGTACATCAGTGTATCATCACTCTCCTCAAGGCAAATCCTGCTCACCCTTTCCTCACATTCAGGTCCTCATTCAAACATGCACATGATAAAATGGTAACAGCTTTATTAGAGCCAGGGACATGTCTCAGTAACTATTATTCTGTTTGTAAATCACCTCCCTTCATTCCAGTCCTCTTCCTTTACATATGTAAATTACAGAGTCTGATCCAGCATTCCCCACCAGCCACCACAACCAAATTATCCTCCAGGGATATCAATCGGGCTTGTTATACTTGTTTCAGCATTTTAAAAGAGAGAGAGAGAGAGAGAGAGGGAAAAGAAGTAGCTGTTTTCAGGAATCAGAATTCCTCTTGATAAGATTTCTGGCTCATTGGTAAATGTTTATACCCTGAAATGCATTGCCCTCTGCTTCTAAATGTTTAGCTTTTTCAGAGCCAAGATATGCTACAATGTTTCCAATATAAATTGCTGCAACTAATATAGGCCTCCTTTTGCCGGGAGTATTTGGTCAAATTCTAATATTCCCTCTTGGGAACCAATCTCAACTTCCAGCTGTAGATTCAACCTTGCAAGATAGAATTTTAACCAGCACACGCACCCACATCTTCCAGTGGACACAGTCCTTTTCTCTCCTATGCTGAGGAGGATGGTTACATGAAGATGCCTTGTCTGAGGCTTATCACCTAGAATATAGATTTTGCTGTTGAGTACTAAATTCATCGCAAAAACGCACATCATCAAAAGCCACCATGGTGTCTACCAAGGTCGAATTGTAGTTGTCACTGCTTAGGCCTATGAATCATTGCACAATTAATAAGAGTAAGTAGCACATGCATATTTCCATAGGCTCCAAATGCTAGCTAAGAAAACGCATGCCATGGGCTTCCGACCCCCAAACAGCATTATAGACAGAAACCGTTCTATTTTAGCTGATCTTGATGGTAATACGTTTTATTTTGTTTCTGCAGCCACTAAAAACCTGAGAAAGGACCCTCTCATTTTCCTTTCATTAAAATGTGCATTTTTTTGCACAGATATAACTGGCAGAAAAGGAGACGGTTCACTGCAGTGCTGCGCTCATCTTGTTGCATTAGGTTTCAAATACGAATCTCAAGGATATGTATTTGTCACATGTCAGCCCAAGCTGAAGGCATCCACCAAGAGAATATTTTCACTGTTCAGCTGGTGGCCAGAATCTATTTCCACAAACCCACATTCTGAGGAGAGCCAAGGCTCCCAGTACCACTCTCCATTTCTTCTTCTTAATACCACTTCCCTCTGCAGAGGAGAGAAGCCGTTTTACTAATTTATAAGGACCCAGACAATGCAACCGTCTAAAAAAATTTACTCATCAATAATAGTCAGCTAAAAGCAAAAGCACATCCCACAGGAATTAGAGAATAAAACAGGCAACACCAGCCCGTATTGATCGGCAGGACTCCTGATACTCACTAAAGGCAGCCACCGCAAGGGCCAGTGTGACGATAATGGAGAACCAGGATACCCACAAGGCCTTCTTTCTGTAGTTCTGGGCTTCGTGAGGTTTCAGTCGGGTGCTGCTTTCTAGTAAGCCTACAAAAATTAGCAGAAAAGGAAGTTGGACATTTCCTTATGAAGAAACCCACAGCCAGAGTTGTAATTTTTTATCCAAAGATTGCAAACTGACAGCGTATGGGTCAAGATGTGCTTTGTTTGGCCCACACTGTGTTTTAACAATTGGGAGACGTCATATGAAAATCAAGCTTTCGGGCAGCCCTTGAAAAGTCACAGGCTCCAGCAACATGGAGCATGTATTTCTGCATAGTAACAGCAGCTGTTCTCTTTAGGGGAACGCCACAGACCCCACTACTCCCTGATGTCTCACACCAGGTCTTTCCCTTGCCCACATGTCAAGCTCAGCTCAGGTAGAAGCGGCTCCACCCAATGGGCCTTTCTATTTGGAAAATAACAGGGACAGCCACATCAGGCATCAGCCATCTCAGCTGTGGACATTGATTTGCAGTGATCCATAAGCACAGTCCCAACTGGTATGCCGAGTTTTGCCCAAAGCAAAAAGTCATAGAATACAAATGCCCTTTCTGCTCCCATAACAATTAATACATGGGGAGAAGGGCCACTTCTCTTTAACCATGACCAACAAGAACCCCCAGGACCAAATTACATGCCATATTTTCTTTCCTTCTCTTTTGCTTTATAAGATCTATTCCTCTGTACCAAGCACGTGTCAAAAATTTCTCAGAATATTAAAGTGGAATAAGCCTTTTACAACCAGAGATAGCTTTCCAGATAGGCCACCGGTATAAAGGTTTCTTTTATGTCTCCTCTGCTTTTAACATGGCAAGTTCTTAAAACAATAGGAACTCATGACGTTTCCCAAGCAATGCCCAAGCTTCACAGCCTTAGGTCGAAGACTAAAATATCCTCCATAAGATTCTGATTTATATATATTTTTCTTCTTCTTTGAAAATAGATCATGTGTGGTATTTCTTTTTTCTCTCTCTCTTTTTTCTTTTTTTGGAGAGATTTTTGCTATAGGGCGCATGCGCTCACCAGAAAGATAGAGAGAGACAGAGAGACAGAAAGCTAGAAATCACTCCCCAAGGGGGATGGCCACACCACAATCCCTTCTCCTCCATTCTCTTCTCAGGATCTTGGGCACGCACACACACTCAGCCAGTGTGAGTTTAAGCTACCAGGTCCAGGTCTCGAACTGCAGTTGACTACAAGGGAGTCCAGCGACATAGCCATTACACTAACTGCTGGTCCTGGTATTTCTTAAATTAAACAAAAAAGTAAATTTTTAGGCATGCACTCTATGTAATCAGGATCTTATTACACCATTTTGGCTAAACAACCCACAATGTATCTTTCAGAGAGAAGACTTATCCTAACAGCTCCAAATGATGAAGGAATTGGTAGTCAGAGCTCAAGCACTCGTTTGTAAAATGTCACACACTGTGGGACATATCACACCTATGCATCACATCCAAAGCAGTATCTTATCTGTCTGACTAGGCACCACTAAACCTCTGTTTGCCAAAAACTGCACCCTACTCAAAAATTGTACTGAGAAACTACTAAAACTTCTCAATTCTGGGACTGGCAGGTGGCATGGTGGTTAGGGGCACTGAACTCTCATATGGCCAGCCACAGTTCAAGTCCTGGACCTAGTGGCTTGCTTTCTCACTTTCTTCTCCTCTCCTCTCCTCTCCTCTCCTCTTCTCTCCTCTCCTCTTCTTCTCCTCTTCTCTTCTCTCTCTCTCCCTCCCTCCCTCCCTCCCTCCCCCGGTCAAATTAAAATAAATAAATAAAATTTAAAAAAAAATTTCTCAGTTCCACCTATTACTCCTACTGGAGCATCCTTGAACATCAGCCTGCACAAATTAAGAGAGAATGTCAAAAAAGCTGCTTAGTGAGCTCAATTCTCAGCCCAGAGATTTTCTTTTAAATAATTAAAACCTGTAGGCCTACATAGGATCAAAAAGGAGATGAGAATGCTAATGGAAAATGTAAATATGATTCCATCATCTCACTGTAAACATCTCCACAAACTTTGCTTTGTAAATGTACTTGGTTGGAAAGGAGAAAAACCTTCGTCAATTCTGCCCAAGGTACAAGTGATTTCCAGTGAAAATACAGCATACGTCTTTGTCTACTTCTTTCCTAGCTGCCGAAAAACACCCCCTTCTAATTCTCAGCAATAGTCACCCTCATCTCCAGTTAAAAAGCATAACCTAGAATAAGCAAATCCCACACAACCCTAATAATTTATTTCCCTTTTCTCAAATGATATTAAAACCTTCCTTTATCCTGGTCAATTGATTTTTAGGGAAAGTGAAGCTATCACATTTTAAGATTGACTCAAAGAAGCAGTGCATGTGCTGGATATTTTGACAGCAATAATCTCGAGAGGTTTATCTACTGGGGGGGGGGATTGGTAAAAACAAGGTTCCCTTAGAGGTAGACTGAGTTTTCTAAATCAAATAACAATCATCTGGCTTTTCTACATAATGTGCTACATAAAATTTGTTTTTCTTTCCAAAGCCAGCTAGCTTTAATAACATAATCGGTCCTGACCACAGGTATAGACCAATCTACAGCCTCACCCACCAGTGAGCCAGCACTCGCCAGGAGGAGTTTCAGATGACAGTTCCCATGGGCTGGACTGCTGCTAAGGTGGCACTTGCTCCTCTCAGCAGCAGGAGTGGTGGTTTTTCCCCTGATCCTATGCATGCTTCTCCCATGAAGATTTGTAAAACAAAAACATTGGAATAAGTACAATAAGAAAACTGACCTAAAAGGGAAGAACTTCCCCATTCCTATTCAACCTCTGCTTATTTCCTGCTAAAAATCCTTTCTAAAACTGTAGCAGATATCAAGAAAGGCAAACTTTCCACTCTTCACAGGGAAGTGGAGTGCGATGCCCTCCAATGACCTAGCTTCGCATATGAGTGATCCACACACAGATGCCTCTACACCTATGTGGGTTTCGGACACACTCCTAAGCCACAAAGATGAGGTGAGCATCCCTCAAGTGCTCAGGTAGAAGAAAGGCAGCTTGGAGAGACAGACAGCCCACAGAGGCTAAGACAGGCCTTGGATTTGCATGCAGTGCTAGGTCCTCCACCTTCAAGTTTTGAAAGCCACTCAAATTTCACATGATTGCAATGTGGACTGGTAATACCAAGCACAGTTGTTTTAATGAAGAACTGACCCATCATTTAGTTGGGAGAGGAATACAAATATATGAGGAGGTTGATGCCATCAGTCATTTCCATACTAGTATGAATTAATTCCAGTTGCTTTCTCCTAACAGTCGGTCAAGATTGAATTGTCTCAAAGAAGGGGATTTCTTTTTTTTTTTTTTTTTTTTGGAGAGGGTTTTGCTATAGGGGGCATGCCCTCCCCA